ATGAGTGGGGCTGCGGGGGGGGGGGGGGTTGGGTGTTCGCAGAGAAAGATTTAGTATTTACCCTCATATAATGCATGGCCTCGCGAGGTCTCATCGAGTTCCCTTGACCAGAACCAGTTCCAGAGTGCATATTTACAGGGCTTGGCATCCCAACCATATTGGGAGAGAGCAAATTGCCTGGATTCAGCATTGATGGTGAGGCTATTCCTTGAAATCCTGGCCTTGGGAGTGGCATGCTTCTGTTCATCCCTGGCATTATGCCCATTCCATTTCCACCTGGTAGCATGTGAACACCACGATCAGCTCCAGAAACAGACAAGTTAGACTGCTGCAAGTTTCCATTAGATAACATTTGATTGTAGTGTTGCATTCTTTGCTGCTCATCAACTGGTAAGGATGTCCTTGGAACATTGTATCTACCATCTCTGAGATTAAATATGACGACCCGAAATCAAAGTTTGAAAAATCACAATTTCATTAAAAACACAATAATAAAGTGAAGATATAAAATAGCATACTACCTGAGAGGTGCATTAAGGGGACCAAATGGTGATGCTGAGTTACTGCCAAGAACCACACCAGAAGATCCTTGCAGAGAAGAGCTTGCACCAGAATTAGGAAGCATTGATGCTATAGCACCTTGATTTGGCATTACCAAATTGCTAGCATGTGAGCCTTGATACACAATGGGAAGAACATTTGGATCTGAAGCACTTGGATCACAGAGATCAAGGGGCCTTCATCCAAACAATAAAGTAAAGTAATATTCAATTTTCTTGAACAAGTCAAAAGACATGAAATACATTCCAGGCAAAGTAAGAAGATAGAAATTGCAAAGTAATGAAACTGGATGTATAGTGATAAGCTGAACATCATAGGCTAGACCATAGACATGCACCGAAGAATAAAAACTTACATTAGGACACCTCCATTTAAGTTTGGGCAAACTTGGGAAAGAGCAATACCATGAGAATTGTGAATTGCTGCTATTTGCTTAGGATCCTGGTTTTTGTTCTTCACAAGATACAGCAATTAAAATCAGTCACGAAAGTATTTTGCAAATGGAAAATCATAAACAAAGCATGATTGTAATGCTTTCAGATACAAAATGTTCAGTCAGGTTTTTTCCCGGGTAGGTAAGAATTCTACTTTATGCAGCAGCCACAAGGAACATGTCCTCAAATTCTGTAACAATCTCAAAAGAATGGAATATCAAGGGGAAAAAAAAAAACATGGTAGAAAATTGAGAAGAGAAGTGATGCCTGATCTATCATTCAGCTAGCAAATAAATTTTGGTATAAAGATGGATAAATAGAGTTTGGATTTATTTGAACGGAAGGTATAAAACAGTGGTAGGTTGGGCTTCTGAGAAGTGAGAACTAGCAACATGACATGATCAGCACACATACAGCCACACTTTGAGTGGCAAACAAACCTGACTCCTTTTGTAAAGATACTTCTTCCCAATCATGATAATTTTCTCAAAATGAGACTTCAGGGTATCCTCTTGCATTGGCCCTTGTAAATGTTGAAACAACTGTCTGGCACTGCCCTGCTTAAAATACAGCAATACAGAACAGTCAAGACTGTCAGGGTAGCAAAGCTTAAGCTCAATGGTACACATCTAAAATTACAAAAGCAAGCATAGAGTTTCAGGTCAGAAAAGGACACAACATTAGCAACCTTACCTTTGGAATGCCAGGTAAAGTTGATGGGTAGGATTGAGAAGATCCAGAATCCTCAGCACTATCAGCCCCATCACCAGCACCCTTATCCATTAAGATTTTGTGGCGTTCTTTGCATTCTTTAGGCTTACGAAATATACACTGGACAGGTTGGGCAAGTGCCAATAAATGAAATTTTCAGCAGAAAAAAACAAAGAGGGGGGGAGGGGGAGAGAGAGAGATGCTTCACCATCTGAAAAGTGAAAACTACTAATGTAGGGAAAAAGGAAGAGATAGATTTTTACCAGCTATGGAACATTGTAGACAGTAGACACTATTGTGTAGTGACCTGATATGCATCCCAAACAAAGAGGTAAAAATTGATAGATGAAAATATCTTATTTACCTTGAATTGAACAGTGCTGTTGATAGCATCACTTATTAGCTCCCAATTAGGACCCATGTCATGCACAAGAACAACAAGAGCCTGAAGAAGCAGAACAAAGAAGTCTCAAGTACTTTATCAGAATTTTAGCAACCAAAGAACAGATTCAAGGACACCAAGGGAAAAGCAACCTGGTCTTCAAAAAGCGACCAAGGACTTCCAAAACCTGGCTGCCCAGCAGACATCTGCAGAGGAAATCAAATGCTCAAACTCATAGAAAGATATATCTAAGAAAACAGTGATGAGTTGAGGGCATATGGCACATGGTCAGCTACAACTTCACCAGGGAGTACCTTCATTGATTTATTTTTTCTGCCTCGTTCCCTGCCACCAATCAATTTGATGAATCTATTTGTGTTTGACATCTTACTCATCTGGGAAAGGGCTGGGGATGGGATGGACCCAGTCATTTGCGTCATGCTGTCAAAAGTATTATCTAGCAATTGCTTCATTATCTTTGGCTTCTTTGCAGTATGTTGCTCATATAAACCTTAAAGAAGATATTTCAAAGTGTCAAGGATGAAGAGGAATGTGAAATCATATGTATACCTGTCAAATCACTATTAAAATAATATGAGATGAATGAGATTTTACCACTAGTTCCATTAGAGTCAAAATGATGACTCTCTGATCTCTTTCTGAAATTATCCCTCTGCTAGTAGAAGAGCACCAGTATAAAAATTAGTGTATAGAAAATAGCTTTTATAATGCAAATTTGGTAGACAGAAGATTAGACAAGAGAAAACATTGATCACTCAAGTGCTTACACTACATAAATAAATGCACTAACAATATACCAGAAAAGTTACATAAACTCATCATAAATTTGTTCATATCATCCATTTAATAGAAGGTATGGTCAACTTGGTGTTCTCTACCATTTTTTCCATCAAAAGACTTACCATAACTACTACCCCATCACAATACCCAGCAGAAATGGCAAAGTTAGGGAAAGTGTTAGTTCTTTTAGAGAGACCTTGACCAACATTCTTATTTGTGGACTGGATGCAACTTTAACTAGCGGATGCTAATACTCATAATTTCTCTCAAGTTCAGTTTATCAGTGAATTTTGCAGTCAACAAACTCAATATATGATTCCTAATACCCATAATTTCTCTCAAGTTCAGTTTATGTGACTTTTGCAGTCAACAAACTCAATATATGATTCCACATTTTAAAAGTGCTTCTGCCCAAGATTGTTTAACACCCCAAAAGCAACAATCATTGAGAGAATGATCATGTTTTGACACATCACTGCAAGGTTCTCTTTCATATTTTGCATCAATTATGACTAGTGTCTGCTTTTCTTCGGCCATAATTTTATTAAAATGGTGATTACTGGCTCCTTAGAAATTGAAGTCGTACTTTAATTCATACGGGGCTCCCTCCAGGAACACCAAACATTTTTTTAAAAGTCTCTAGACCAAAATGCATGCTGAAATTCAAAATTAATGGCACTACAACCTGAATTTTACAATTACCTGGTGCTCACCATATTTTCTGCTTAGAAAAAATGCAAAATTATATCTAACATCCAAACCTAAAAAAAGTTAAATCACCTGATCATTATGAACAGTGGAATCCAGCTGCCAGCCCTGCTCATAAGCAGAACCCTGCAAAAATGGTGTTAGTCAACAAGCATTACAAAGAAACCACTTTAGAAAGCACCCAGACTTTATTAAAATAAACTAAGCCCCCAGCACCAGCTGAACTATGAGAATTCCTAGGTACCAGATGTTTTGCTTTCTTCTTCTTCTTCAGTTTTGTTGATGTCTCGGCATAGTCATAAGGTAACTGCCTTTCAAAATCTGCAGCTGACTCAACCTCCACACTTTTTTGTATTTGTGATCCACCATGCAAAGTACTCTGGTCATCCTGAAAAGAATTAGTATCTCCACTTGACGCATCTGTCTTCATTGGAGCCAGGGGTAGAACCCCAGTGGTTCCAGCAGTAAAAGGACTTGTAAACCTCTGCCTAGAAGCAGTACGCATGCGTTTTGTTGGAATTGAACCAATGTTAAGATTATTTGCAGGTCTTTTCCCCTTCAATACATTTTGTTGAGGCCCAGTGGTGCAGTGTCCATAAGGTGAATCAGTTGCCAGATCATATGATCTTGCAGAAGGTGAATTTGTGAAGCTTTTCCATTTCTTCTGGTCATGTTTTCCTTGCTTGCTACCTTCAAAGACGCCATGCATATAGTAGGCACTTGTTTCTTCTTCCTCATCATATGCATTGTCATGACAACCAAAGTCTGAAATTTGGGAATGAACCAATGAAAGAGAACAAATTCAATCAACAAGGAACTAGTAGATAAAGTACATTTAGCATTACCTGCTGGAGTGTCATACATAGATGTATCAACCTCATCCTGCATGTTATTGTGAGTTTTCTGGAAGAATAACAAAGTTCAACAACTAAGCAAGATTAAGATGGAACAAACTTGAAAACAACGTGATGAGGGGAAAAATCAACAGTTCGTAGTTTACAAGCATTAAGTGCCAAGCCAACTTCACCTGCTAGAAGTCATTCTCCAGTATTCTTTCTAAATTTTGTCAAACTGTATGTCTTTCAAGCATAGAGAAAACCAAGAACATGTTCCAAAGCTTTCAGAATATTTTAATTACCTCACTTTGCATGATATGAGATTCAATGGACAATCTGTACATTGCCATGGCAGCTGAGGGAACTGCATAGAACAGGCTTTCCTGCAAATAAAAAGTTGAATGCATAATGAGTGATTTTTATGCAAACAAGGTTAGAGTAAAACACACAGGCATGCATCTAAGAGATCAAAAGGAGATGGCTTTGGTAAACATAAACAAGACAACAGATATAAAAAACATAAAGAAGGTAGGTATGCATACTTCCGTGAGCTGATCATCCCATGAAATGTCCATCATGCCTAAATCAGCTATTCTGTCAGGAGTTGCTGGTAATTCTTGAAGGGAAGGAACTGGCGAGCTGTTATATTTCAAAAATCTTAAAGCATATCCATGAATGGCATGGGCAATGTTTTTGACAGGCTTTTGTATCTCTAACTCTTTGCATGCCACCTGCTCATGAACAAAATGTTCAGAATGGGTCAATACTTGGTACGAATAGGATGAAAATCATACCATTTCTCAAAATTAATGCAGTTCTAAACTCCACTAAAAGCATATTCATTTTATGTTATCAATATCCAAAGGAAAATGAACTTTGATCCAAAGCTGTCTTTTTGTGTGTGCGCGTGTGGAATAAATAATATCTCCACTTATCAGATAAAGTGCATTTCAATTAAATGAAAAGTTTTGCAAAAGTGGGAATACTATAGATTGAAAGCAAAAAACAAAGGGAAAATGAATTCCAGGCGGTTAAATAGATGAGTATGTAAAAGGTGGTTTCCAAACATTGCTAGCACCTTATCAATTTCTCCAAACTTGTTGACAGAAAATTCATTCCTATAAAAGATTATCGACTCATGCTTGCCATTCTTTGAACCAAAACTTTGACAATTGTTACTTCGATACACCTCCATTGAGTGCCAGAACTGCATGACAGCCTTAGCCAGACTATATGCAACTTTTTTTAGCTTCAGATGCTGATTTCGTTCCTCAACTCTCAATCTAGAAGTAAAAGCAACACGGCAACATATTTGAGCAGCAGCAGTCATCTTCCAGAGACGCTCCTACAAGGAAATAGAATAAATAACAAAGCTTAAATAGAGATTAAGTTAAATATAGGCACTAATAGTGAGTTCTTAAATGTACAAGATAAATTCTTCACGAGGGAAAAAAAAAATTGAGCAAGAAATTCCTTATATAAAAAGTCAGACCTGTGCAAAATCATTTGCCAACCATGCCATTTCTTCAAGGACAAAATCCCAGTGAGTTTTCCAGTTACTCTTTGAGGGCACAGTTCCAACAGATAATTCAGCAATCCTCTTCCGCTTGTCCTGCAAGCCAATCTATGTCAGTTCTTTTAAAAGCTTTTTGAAGAAATAGATGTCGTATGTTTAAGAGATAGTATGAAGGAACAACCTCGATAATCCGAGCCTCTTCCAAAACAGAATCTTCATGAGCCTTGTCTACCAATTTCAGTTGTGTATTAGAACAAGATTGTGGGTCAAGGGCCGCAGAAGATTTTTTCTCTAACAAAATGAGGTGGGGAAGCTCTTGAATAGATGGATCATTATAGCCCTGGGGACCACTGGGGTAAATGTTTTCTGTGTTGGAATTGGAACCATCAGCCAACATCTTGCCCGCCTTTATATCAGCCTCAGGTGCTACATGGTCATTTTGTTCCGTCGCTTGAAGATTATGACATTTCACCTCATTTTGAGGGTGAGAATAACTTCTCATCTCTTCCTCACTTTTGACAGTAGAATCATTGCCATAGTAGTTTCGATGCACAGAACCATCATTGATGGCAGTAACACGTTCAATAGACTTAGTCTCTTTCTTTTCATTTCCCATATTACCTGATAGTAAACTTTGTGTTCCTTCAAGTTTTGATAGTTCTTTAAAAAGTATTTCATTGGTATCATCATTTCTGTAATTGGCACACAAATCACTGTCATTGTTTACATCCAAGCTTATGCTATTTTGGGTGCATGAGGACTCTGAATCGAATCCTTTAGTTCCCATTGCTGTGTTACCATTTTGACCTTCATTTCCATCTTTTTTCAAGTCACTAAAACCTTTAAGCAGACCCGGACCAGTTTCATTCTCAGTCTTTGTTGATTCAGCACAAGGTAGACCTTCAGGACCAGCAGAAATAACCTGCTCTCTTCCTCCATCATGATCACATTCCTTGGAAGCATTCTCAGTATCAGCTTCTGAAGGTTGATCATGCAGGTTATCCCTCAAGACATTGGACTCTGTAACATCCAGCCTATATTCAGGCAGGTTAGCAATTGTTTTCAGTGCCTGCACACAATCAAGTTCCATGTTTGAATGGGTATTGGAAGCCTCAATCTGGGAAACCATACCATTTGAAGCTGGAGACTTTGGGTTAGAGACTAAATTGATATTCTGGTCTTTATGAATGTCTGTTTCAGTTACCAAGCCCTTCACATCCCTTGCACCCCCTTGAACTGGTAAGGAAGATCCATGACCACCTGAACTATGAACAATATCAGTTGAACCTGATCGAGCACTGTCACGATTTGGTCTGGACCTATTCCTTCGAGCATATGGCCGAAAAATAGCAGAATCTTCAGGCTCCTTGGCATTATGAATCCCATCCATCTGTGAAGACTGCTCTGATTGAGTCACTTTACTCCTTCTACTAGGATTTGTAGGTTTCCTTTCAACTTCAAGTAACTCATTTTCACCATCAAAATTGTCAGCACTATTGGGCCCACAAACTGCAGTAGCCCCTGGTCTCCCACTAGTTTCTACAGAATCCCCATGAAGTGATGTTGTCAGTGGAAAATTGCCTTTCGCTTCACTGTAATACAATATGGAGAGGGGAAAATTGAAGGAGGAGAAGCATTAGCCAACTAGCAAACTATAAGTCAGTCAAACACCACAGCAAAAGGAATATACCTAGTAACAAACTGTTCAACATGATGATCCGTGAATGAAGTAGACTGGACACTAACTGAAGCTGCATTCACGAATTTAAAATCCAAAGGATTGCCACCCTGCAAGCAAGGATGAATTTAAAAGGAAGGTAAAAACATAAAAGGGTTCAAAATAGCAAGAAAAAGCTTAAATTGCCATACTTTCTCAAGAAATTCTAGCTCCCTTCTCCGTTCCTCACGAACATCATACTCTTGTCTGTTAACATCAAATTTTAGTTGCCAATATCAAGAAATTCAGGACATATTTTTCTCATGTAGCAAAAGAAATGCAGAAATTACAAAAACTGATAGTAAAACACACAAAAAAGAATGCCAGTGTTACCTAAGTTCTGCATGAGCCTTCTCAATTGCTGCTTGCCGTGGAGAGGTTTTTATACCAATACCAACTCCACCATCAACAACCCCACCCATGGAATCAACTTCAGCATTTACTAGGGGAGCAAACCCTGGACCACATCCATGCATTCCCACTTCAGTGGCTAGAGGCCTTGCACTCCTCTCATCAATTCAAAAAACTGTCAAATTCTTTGATTAGACATAAGACTAACATTAGAATGAAGAAAAGAGTGGCCTAGAATGAAAAGGCACCCCCCCCCCTCAGTAAAATGAAAATGAAATTATCATCGTATGCATGATGGATAGATCTTCTTGTATACGTGTCACCCCCCCCCCCCCCCCTCAGTAAAATGAAAATGAAATTAGCATCGTATGCATGATGGATAGATCTTCTTGTATAAGTGTATCAGTCTTTTCAAGTCCAAATGTTTGACTAAATTAGGTTGCAGGTGTATTAGATATATGGGCTAGTCTAGATATCTTGTTATGGCTTATTCAAAAATTCAAGGAGCAATGGTACGTAGTGTAAATGCATTAGATCCGGCCATCTATATCAGAAAGGTAATCATCTTGTCAAATTAAGATGTCTTAATATTGTATATTCTCCCTTCATTCCATAAGCATGATAAGCTACATGGAAGCATGCAGACATTAAAATGCTTGAGTTCTTGAACTGACCCGGTAAATAAGTATAGCATGCAATAAAAGATGCAGGAATTTAGATCTATGCAGCAGCTTAAAAATTATTTATCCAAAATAGAAAAGGAAATAAGCGAACATCCTTTTAGAAAAAATTACAGCAATGCATCATGCTATGGAAACATGAATGTTGAAAAACATATGATAGCTCCCCCAGTGCCCAAAACAGAAATAAAAAATGAATACTCAAGCAAGCCAGACAGAGAGCTAAACAGTTTGCCGTTCCAAATCTATAACACATGTCATTTGCAATCAGCTTGTAAAATAATCTAGCTTTCAACAAAAAGTTAGAAATTTTTTAAACAATCTCAACTCCGCTTAAAACAAAAGAATCACAAGAAATAAAGCATGGACACATCATGAATGCATTCCCAACTACTACACAGTTTTCTCTTTGCTAGCAAGAATCCTGAAAATTAAAGACTCCTTTTCTAGCCATAAACCCTGAAACATCTTTTGTAATCAACCCAACCAAATGATTTCCATGGTCAATTATACAGCAGAGTTGCTATGTCATTCTCCTTTGCAAGCATCACAAAGCCCCACCAAACTTCCACAAGCAAACGTGTATTATTCACAGAGAGTCAAGCAATCTGTTTCAAACAGGTTAGGTTTCTAAAAAGAAGCAAAGACATTATCCATAAGTATGCAAAACAAAGCAATTAATGATCACACAACAACCGAATAAATGTACTTAGTTCCCACAACGTGTATGTCTACGCAAATAAGCAGCAGTGGCGAAATATATTAGTGCCAACGTCGTTTCAGATTCACACACAAGCAAGCAGCAGTGCTAAAATACATTAGTACACAAGCAGGCAGCAGCTATTCAAAAACTTACAACCACTAGCTTACCAGTTTAAGACACGAGCAAACCAAGTTAGTGCATTAATTCCCACCACCTTTACGCATACAGATATGACTTACTGCATAAATCCTTGAGCATTTAATCAACAAAGGAATTGCCTCAAACAAACCCTAATTTCGCACAATTCTCAAAAATCCAACATTGCACCCCAACTCTAGGGTTTCCAAAGTGGTAGCAAAAATCACTGAAAAAAGTAAAGCAATAATCACCTGAATTACAAATTTGAGAAGCTAGGGCACGGCTTTCAGTAACCACCGAATTGGACACTTTCTCTCTCGTGAGGTTTTTTCTTTGGAAATCAAAACGAAATGAAATTTGCCCTAGAATTTAACAACACCTTCGAAATTTAACCATCAGAGCGACTTACTCTGCCTCTCTCTGCCTTTAATCCAGTTCTTCGTTTTCTTTTTTTCCTTCGTTTATTATTATTTTTTATTTTTGTTCTATCTGGTATTTTTGTGCGCGTGTTTTCTTTTCCAAATCGATGGGGTACTATGCGAGTCCTCTCCCTCCCCTCCCCCTCCCCCTCCCCCTCCCCCTGCGTGTAGTAGTGGGCCTGGGTTTACAATACATGAAGAAGAAGACGACGCCGATGGGCCTTTTTGTTTTTAATGTTGGGCTTTTATTAAGAAAATTTGAATAGTTTCAGATTTTTAATTGCAAGTAGCTTGTACACCAATTAAATGCCTTTTTTCTAATGGATTTTAAGGTGAATCCATGTCACATATTACATGTTAATGAAATTAAAATAAATCTATAAAAAAATAAAAAATAATTATAAAATTAATATAAAAAATTAAATTATTAATACAAAATGATAAAATCATAAAGAAAATAAGTAAAAAAAAATCAAATGATATTGACTTTTTAAATTTATGATCCGGGTTATTATATTGAAAGTGCTACAAATAAAAAAAATAAAAAAAAATCCTAATAAATCAAATATAAAATATGAAACAAAAAAAATCAATTACATAAAAAGATTTAAGAAAAAATTTTAATTAAAAGAAAAAGGGTGAAAATAAAAAAAATAGAGGGCAAAAACAATTTATCAATTTAAGGGTTGAATTAAAATAAAAAATAACTTTAATGTTGGAAACAATAAATGAAAAAAATAAGGGTCTAATTAGAAAAAATAAAATAACATAAAATTTGATTAAATAATAAAATTAAAAGCATATAAAACTTTAAGAAAAGAGCTAAAGAAATAAATTAAAAAACCAAAAGAATAAGGATTGAGATAAAAAAAAATATATGAGAAATTATAATTGAAGAATTAAATTGAAAATAATCAAAACTTTTATTAAAGAAATAAGAACAAAATAAGAAATCAAAACAACAAGAACTAAAATGAAAAAAGCAAAAACAAAGAACTTTGATTGAAAGATGAAATTAAAAGCCAATAAAACTTTAGCAAAAAGATCAAAATAATAAATTAAAAATTAAAAAAATAAGGATCAAATGAAAAAAAAATAAGAAATTATAATTGAAGAGCTAAATTGAAAACAAATAAGAATTTTATAAAGGGAATAAAAAAATATTAAATCCAAAGAATAAGGATAAAAGTTTTTTAAAAAAAAGACAATCAAGCACTTTTTTGATAGAAAAAATAGAAAAAGGGGAAAAAAATAACCACGTGTGATAATTCAGCCATCATACGTTATTAAGCACCACACCACGTGTGACAATTCAACCATCAGATGTTGTCATACACCACATCATGAGGAAGATAACACGATAACACTTTTAAAGACACGACAAAAGGTTATGTTCGAGCATTAAATGGTATCACATGCATCGCTCAAATAGCGTGAACATCACCTACTTGCTGGTGTATAATGAGAACACACTAGTAGCTTTCTTGAATAAAAAAAACTAAAACATCCCCTTAACCTTGGTAATTAGTAAAAAAAAACACATGTGTGAAAGTACAAGAGTACCCTTGAATGCAAACCTTATCTCTTTTTTTCTAAGGTTAATTGTATATAAAGGAGGGGGAAAAAAAACCCTTAACCAACAACCCAATATTTTTTTATCCTAGGGTAAAGAAGTATTTGAAAAAAATTAACATATCCATGTCAATCTTATAATGACCAATGAGCTAATGGAAAAAACCAAAACACCCCACCCTCAAGGCTTTTCTTTTTTTCTACTCAAGCAAAAATATAATTTTATTATAGCAATACATGATAAACTATGTCTAGTGTTATAGTAAAATACACACGCTTCATATATTTTGTTAAATAGTTAATCTATTTACAAGATGTTTTTCCAGACACAAGAAGGTTTTGTCGTAATAATAATAATGATATTCAAGATTTGCTTCTTGAGAATGATTTATGGTCAACTGATATCCCAAGTTACTCCTCCAAGGTGGTAAACTAATATTAGCACAAAACCAAAGTTCAAGAATCATAGTTATTAAACCTGGACCGGCCTGGAAGGTCGACTTGGGACCCGGTAGCTGAACTGGTTCGGGTTTGTTAAAAGACCGGCCGATGCAACGACTCAGCAAAACCAGGACAACCCAACGGGTTGACCTATGACCCGAGCGACTCTGGCAAACCTAGACGAGACCCGGTATTTTGATATTGGATCCGCTTGAGATGTTTACAATTTGCAAGTCGATCTTGGTTTGGAGATCTTGAGGCCTTTCCTTGCTTTGCTTCAAAACAAGGTCAAATATGTCCTTTTATGGTGGATCGACGAGCCTTTGCCAGATGTTTATTCACCCGCTCCTTCACAAAGGTACTAAAGGCTTTCTTCTTTTCCCATTGGTATTAGCCCTCCGTCGTGATTCCTATCCTCTTCTTTTTTTTTAATCCAGATTGGAACTGGATTTGAATGTCTTTGGATCCTAAGTTGGCTCCACTTTCTGGAATTCATGTTTAACATCTAGCAGGCTTTATTAACACTAAGAGAGAGAAGCAACAGGTAGCACTTTAGCAGTACAAGCACCACAGGCTTCATATCATTAATGATTAGTACTTAAAAGTCTATTTTTATCAAGGTTCATTAATAATATATCTAATAATATAAGATACCTTTAATTTATGGTAAATGTTCATTTTAAATACAGGCCTATCACATAAATGAAAGGATCGATTGATGAATTTAAGAAATGAAATTGAAAGGACAAAGAGATGACCAAACTTATAAAAG